GCCGGTCTGCTTCTCGCGCGCGATGTCGCGGAAGATCGTGCACGCGCCGATCGTCAGCGAGAGGAGCACGAGGCCGACGAGCGCGACGTCCGCGGCGACGTCGCCGTCGGCCGTCGTCTTCTGGAGCAGCGCCGTGAGGAAGATGGCCGCGAGGAGCCAGGACAGCGCCTCGGCCAAATGGTTGTCGGACGTCGCCGCGAAGGGCTGCCGCGCCTGGTACAGCTTCGCCGACAGGAGCACGAGGACGACGCAGTAGAGCACGTTCGCGGCCGTGCCCGGCGCGACGAGCGACTGCACGGTCGTCAGCGCCAGGCGCCGGATCGTCTCGATCACTTCAAAGTACCAGACCTCGGGGTCGTACGGTAAGTACAGCAGCTTGACGCTCTCGCAGACGCGGTGCGGGCGGCCGTCGCGGATGCGCAGGGCCTTGGTGATGCGCTCCTTCTTCGTCGGGAGCGACGACGACGTCGACTTCGACAGCGACTTGGAGAAGCCGAGCTTCCGGAGCGGGTTGATCTTGTCGCGGACTCTAAATAACAGGGCGTAGAAGCACAGGGGCACGCCGACGGGCCAGACGCAGACCATGAGCCCCGCGAAGACCTCGTAGGCCGCGTACTTGGGCCCGCCGCACTCCACGGACAGGTCCGCGGCGAGGTAGCGCTTGCCGTCGCCGAAGCCGCCGCGGCAGCGCCAGAAGGCCATGGCCGTCGAGCTCGAGCTCGGGAAGACGAGGAACGCGACGAGGACCGCGGCCGCGAGCGTCGAGTCCTCCTCGTCGCGGTCGCGGCGGCCGGGGACGAGCGCGCGGGCGGAGACGACGACCTTGTAGGCCGCGACGACGGCGACGGGCGCGCAGGTCGCGAAGACGAGCTCGTCGTAGTAGGAGTAGCCGTCGACGGCACAAGAAAGTGGCGTGAAGCCTAAATTCAGCTCGAAGACGCGGAGCGCGCGGAGCACGCTCGAGAACGCGGACGGGTAGTCCACGCCGAAGCGCGGCATGGCCGCGGCGATGATCTGGAGCGCGATGAAGAGCGTGCGCCACTTGACGCGTAGTTTCTGGAGGAGCCGCGAGACCTTGACGCCGAGCGTCTCCTCGGGCGTGCGCATCGTCGTCAGCGACGCGAGGAGGCTCAGCGAGCTCCAGCGGAAGCCGCGGTGCGACGGCCGCCCGCCGCCGTCCTCGGCGCTCTGCGGCGCGCCGCCGCCGCTGTCGCGGAGGCTCTCCCGGATGGACGCGCGCTGGAGCGCCGCGGGCGTGTGGATCTTCGACGCCCAGACCAGACTCCAGAAGCACGCGGCGACGGCGATTCCCCAGAGGAGGCCCGCGGCGACTTTGGCCCCCCGGTCGCGCGAACAATTGCGGCAGGAGCCCGAGACGTCGTCGCGCCACTTGCCCGGGTCGCAGGCCTCGCAGAGGCGGCCCCGGACGTTCGGGCCGCACGACGCGTCGCCGGCGGCGGCGCCGCCGCGACAGTCGGCGGCGGCGCCGCAGGCGACGACCGTCGTCGAGGCCGCGTCCGCGCGCCAGAAGCCCCGGACGACGTCGACCGTCGCCAGCGTCGTGCCCCGCGGGCAGGCCGCGTCGTCGAGGCAGGGCACGCACGACCCTCCGTCCGCGTAGAAGCCGTCCAAGCAAATGGAGCAGTTCGCGCTCCCGCCGTCGGACGCGAAGCCCTCGCCGAGGAGGCAGGGCGAGCAGACGAAGGCGCCCGGCCCCGCGAAGGTGTTGGCCGGGCAGCGCTCGCAGGACGTCGCGCCCGACGCCGCGCTCGCGCCGAAACCGTCGGCGGCGAAGCGGCCCGCCGCGCAGGCCGCGCAGGCGTCGTCGCCGCCGGCCGCAAAGGTGCCCGCCTCGCAGGGCACGCAGACGTCGACGCCGTCGACGTCGACGCGCGCGGCGCCCGGCGCGCAGGGCTCGCGGATCGTGTCCGGCGGCGGCGCCGTACCGCCGTCGGCGAAGCGGAACGGCGCGGCGTAGGACCAATTGCCCGCCGTCCAGCGGCCGACGACGGCGTAGGCGCCGTCCCAGACGTTGGCGACCTCGAAGATTGCGTCGTCGGAGCGCCGCGTGCCCGTCGTCGCGTCGAAGCGGACGCGGCCCGACGCGCCCTCGAAGTCCGACGCGAAGAGCGCGGCGCGCAGCGCCGCGCCGTCGGCGACGTCGCCGCCGCCGTCGACGACGGCGCAGGCCGCGAGCGCGAAGGCCGCGAAGGCGTCGAAGGCGTAGCCGTGGAACGACCGCCCCCAGCCGTAGCCGTCCGCGCGCGGCGCGCCGAGGCCGGCGGCCGCCTGCGGCGCCATGCGCGAGTTCGGGTCCGCTGTCGAGTTCTTGTAGGCCTCCTCGAGGGCGTCCATGTTCGGCGTGTCCAGGGGGACGAACTCGCCCGTCACGTGCGCGGCCCCGGCGAGCGCCGCGCGCGTCTCGTCGTCGAAGGTCTCGTCCGTGGCCACCGTCGTCATGCGGCTCGAGACCCAGGCCCACGCGTAGTCCGGCCCCGTCATGTTCCGCCGCAGGGCCCCGCGCACGACCTCGACGAGCTCCGTCGCCGCCGGGACGGCGACGACGACGGCGTGCCGCGCGCTCTGGACGGTGCCCAACGCGACGTCGAGCGCCCGAGCGTCGTGCGCCGCGTAGCCGGACGCCGTCGCGGAGATCTCGCGCGCGACGCAGGCCTTCAAGAAGGCCTCGACGTTCGCCGACGAGTAGACGTCGTCGGACGCGTAGACGACGCCCACGCGGCGCCAGCCGTGGCTCGCGACCCAGTCGGCCAAGGCGGCGACGGTGCCCGCGTCGTCCAGGATCGTCCGCAGAAAGTAGGGGTAGTGGGACCGGCTGTTCAACTCCGGCGACGTCGACATGTAGGACACCATGGGCGTCTCGTCGATGGCCGTCGACGTGGCGAGCGCGATGGACCGCGCGGACGCCGCGGCGCCGAGGACGCCGTCCAGGTAGGCGAAGGACCTACCACATGACATGCGTCGGTAACGATTTTTCATTGTTTTCCCACCCAAAATCTCTCGAAAATCGTCACGGATGCAGGACGCTGCGCTCCACTCGCGGTACCGGGTGACGGTCCCGAAGGTTGTTGCCTCCGTGTTGTGGTACGTGAGGGACACGGCGACACCGTCGCAGCGATTCGCAAAGGCCGGCGCGACGCGGCCGTCCCCGCGCGCGAACATGTCCGCGGCGACCGCGGCCGTCGCCGCGAGCGGCCAGAGCCGCGTCGTGCCCCAGAGCGGCGCGCCGTCGGCCTTGGCGAGCGGCAAGAAGACGCCGAGGTCGAGCTGCTGCGTGGCGTTCGAACGCGGCGAGAAGTCGAGCCCCGTGCAATTCCCGTTCGGATCGCAGGGCGAGCATGAATTGATGCCATTGCGGTAGGACGCCTCATCGCAGCGCTCCGCCGCGGCGCCGAGCGCCGCGACGAGCAAAAGGGTCCAGCGGCGCGCGGCGACGAGCGGGGCGCAGCGGCGCATGGTCGAGACTGTACGCGGCGGCGCGCGACTACGCTAATGGACGGTCGATGAGGCCGGGGCTGCCATTTCCAGGCGAGTCCGGGAATCGACCTCAAAATCTTCAATGGCTACTTCAAGCGTTTAAATTAAGTTTTAAATTTAAGGCGGCGCGACGACGTTGAGGTCCGAGCCGGCGACGTGGGCCTCGACGTCGGCGACGACGGAGGCGAGGAGCCGCTGGCGCGTCTCGAGGCGCCGCCAGCCCACGTGGGGCGTGAGGATCGCGTTGTCCAGGTCCCAGAGCGGCGAGTCCCGCGCCGGCGGCTCCGGGTCCTGCACGTCGAGCGCCGCCCCCGCGATGGCCCCGTCCCGCAGGGCCGCGACGAGCGCCGCCTCGTCCAACACCGCGCCGCGCGCCGTGTTGATGAGGTACGCCGACGGCTTCATGCGCGCGAACGCCTCGGCTCCCAGCAGGCCGCGCGTGTCGTCGGAAAGAGGGCAGTGCACGGACACAAAGTCCGACGCCTCCAGGAGCGCCGGCAGCGACGCGACCTCGCAGCCCGCGGGGCACCGGCCCGACCGCGTCGACACGAGCACCCGCATTCCGAACGCGAGCGCCAACTGGCCCACGCGCGTGCCGATGGCGCCGTTGCCGCCGACGAGGCCCAGCGTCTTGCCCGCGAGCTCGAAGTGGGGCATGGTGCCGATGTTCGCGTCCATGTCCTCGAAGTGGCGCCGGTCGCCCGCCTGCAACCGCCGCCGCTGCTCGTAGATGGACGCGGAGAAGGCCAGGACGTGCGTCATCACCAACGTCGCCACGGCCTCGATGGAGTAGGCCGGACACGTCCGCAGGACGATGCCCCGGGCCGCGAGCGCGCCGCGGTCGTGGTTATTGTAGCCCGTGCCCGCCTCGATGACGCAGCGCACGCTCGCCGGGAACCGGGCCACGACGTCGCCGCCGAGGACCATCTCCTTCGTGATCACGACCTCCGCGCCGGCGACGCGCTCGAGGATGAGCGCGTCGCTCGGCGACGCGTCGAAGGCCTCGACGTCGGCCGCGGCGCGGAGCGCGCTCAGGTCCAGGCGGCCGTCGAAGTCCATGCGCTTCAGGTTCAGCACGACGCACTTGGGTCGGCGCGGCGCCGCCGCCGCGAGGCCCGACATGGCCGCGAGGGTGGCGACGAGCCGCAGGGAGCGCTGCGCGGAGCTCGACGAGCTGGAGCACGACGAGCTCGGTGGCCGCAGGGAGCGCTGCGCAGCGGTTGAGCACGACGAGCTCGGTGGCGGTGGCAATGGCGATCGATTCATGGCTTCTCGTGCAACGTCAACGTTTGCGGCAACTTGAGCTTCGGATGCGTCTTCGGACGCGTGGACATCGATATCGCGGCAAGCCACGCAGCGTCGAGTCCCCAAAGAAACGACAAAGAGAAACTAAAAGAAAGAAAGCAGAGGAGGCGCGGACGGAGCGCGCGGGGTCACGCGGGCGCGGCCGCGGGCGCGGGGATCTCGTCCCAGGTGAAGTGCGTCGGCCGCCGCGTTTTTTTCGTCGGCCCGTCGGGGACGATGGGCCGCCCGTCGGGCGCCTTGCGGCGCCGCTCCGGCGGCGGCGCGGGCTCGCCGTCGCCGGGCCTCGCGCGCGCGAGGCGCGCGCCGTCGGCCGTCGCGGACGTCGGCGACGCGAGGTCCTCGCGCAGGAGGGGCGCGTCGTCCTCGCCGAGGTAGGGCTCCGTGGGCACGTGCGGCGTCTTGAGCAGCGAGCCCGTGAGGAGGTCCGCGAGCGACCGGTCGTGGCTCTCCAGTTCGACGATCTCGCCGAGCGGGTTGACGCCGCCCTCGGTCGCCGCGTGGTGGGACCGCTCGAGGCGGTGGCGCACGCTCTTGAACATGAGCCGGTGGTGCGTCGCCGACGACAGCGGGCCGTCCGCGCCGGGCACGAGCTCGGTGGACACGGACAGCGGGCTCGAGCCCGCGCCGGACGACGACGGCGACAGGAGGTCGCCGGCGGGCGGCCGCAGCTGGTCGCCGGCGCTGCCCCGCGACGACGCGTCCGGCGACTGCGACGGCCGCGCGGCGCGGCGCGGGGCCTGCGCGGCGCCGGCGCTGCCGCCGGAGCTGCGCCGCGACCCCGAGCTCGACCGCTTTTCCTCGCTCTCGCGGTGGATGCGGTTCACGAGCGACTCCATGAGGGGCGGCGGGTACTGCCCGGCGCCGCTCGTGCGCTGCCCGACCGGCGTGGTTGGGACCGCTCCGCCCCTAGAAAGCTGCCCTCCGCGCAACGACTCGACTGCACTCTGCGGTAAACCCGTCACGTTACCCCCTCCAGCCGAGGCCGATGGCGTCCGACGATGCGGTCGAGGCGTCGCCGACGCCCTTCGAGGACGCCGTGCGCGACGCGCAGACGTCGACGACGCTGAAGAAGCAGCTCGAGGAGCTCGTGGAGAAGGCGAACGGCCTGCTGGAGCAGTCGACCAAGTCGTCCGTCGAGACGGCCCTCGAGATCTACGACTCGTGCCTGCGCACGCAGCCCCGGGGCGACGTCGTCGTGCCGCTGCTCGTGAACCGGGCCCTGGCCCTCGACGCCCTCGGCAGCCACGCCGAGGCCGCCGAGAGCGCCGAGCTCGCCAGTCGCGCGCTGCCCCCGAACAGCGACCGCGTCGCCGAGCTCGCGGAGCTCGTCGCCCAGTTCCGCGCGGCCGCCCGGGAGAAGGCGGCCCGCAAGCCCGAGGGCCCCGCCTACGACGGCGACGCCGACGCCGCTGTCGCCGCGGCCCAGGCCGACGCCATCGTCGCGGACGGCCGCGCCGCCGCCGCCGCCCCCGGGCGCGCCGCCGCCCGGCGCGGCCGCCGCGCCGCCGCCGCCGCCGGCGGCCGCGCCGAAAGTCGCCCCCGCGACGGTCCCCTTCGAGAAGCACGTGCGCCGGAGCCTGCGGCGGCTCCGGTTCTCGACGTACTCGCGCAAGACCGCGTGCCGGGAGAAGGATCTAGGCAACGGCCGGCTGAAACAAGGCGACCTCGCGGGCGCCGTCGGCCACTACACGCGCGCCATCGCCCAGGACCCCGACGACGCCGTGCTCTGGAGCAACCGGAGCGCCGCGCTCCTCGCGCTCGACCGCACGCCGGGCGACGGCCCGACGCCGTCGCCGCTCGCGGCGCGCGCCGCGGCCGACGCGTTCGCGGCCATCGCCGCGGACCCGAGCTGGCCCAAGGGCTACCTGCGCCTGGGCCACGCCATGGCGGCCATGGGCAGCGCCCTCGAGGCCATGGAGGCGTTCCTCAACGGCGCGCAGGTCGCGCGCGTCGCGGCGGCCGGGTGCGGCGCGTCGTCCGACTGCGCGGCGCTCGAGCGCGCGGCCCTCGCCTGCAGGGAGCGGGGCAACGCCCAGGGCCGGACGCTCCAGAGCGGCGCCATCGCGCGGGGCTTGGACGTCGACGAGGACCGGCTCCACTTCGAGCGCGGCGCGGAGGACGGCGGCAACGGCTCCGTCGCGGGCAGGCACGGCCTCGCGAGCTGCCTCCTGTTCAAGGCCTGGCCGACGGCCGCGTTGCTCGGCCGGCCGCCGCGCGACGTCTCCGTCGCGGGCAACAAGGCGGCGTTCGACGCGCTCGCGCGGGGCTGGGGCGTCGAGGCCGTCGACGACCGGCGGTGGGGCGCGGGCGGCCGGGGCCTGCGGGCGACGCGCGCCTTCTCCGAGGGCGCGACGCTCTTCTCCGAGACGCCGCTGGTCGCCGTGTCGCTGCGCGACGATCTGTGCGGCTACTGCTGCGGCCCCTGCCGGCCCGCGGACGGCGGGCCCGTGACGAGCCTGTCCCAATTTTGTTGTCCGGCGTGCGAACGCGACGCGGCGGCGCGCGTAGAAACCCCCGCGGTCCTCGAGCGGCTCAAGTTCGCGCGCTACGAGCTCCAGGCCGAGGGCGGCGTCGCGGCGGCGTCGTTCCACGTGCTCGCGCTCGCCCAGCTCACGCACCGGCCCGAGGACCGCGACGCGCTCGACCTCCTCTGCCGGCCGACGGATCTCCCGCTCGACGACCTCGCCGCGCGGGACCTCACGGTGCCCTTCGCGGACCGCCACGCCATGTGCGGCGAGCTCGACCGGTTGCTCCACGGCGACGACGACGACGAGCGCCTCGACGCCGCCCCGGACGCGGACTACGTCGCGCGGCGCCGCGGCGCCGCGGCCGTCGACCTCGGCGACGTCGACGACCGCGTCGGCGCGCTGACCATGAACGCCTTCGTCTTCGGCCCGACGGGCGAGGCCGTCTGCGTGCCAAGGCTGGGCGCGCTCTGCAACCACGCGCACGACGGCAACGCGGAGCTCCGACCCGGGCCGCGGCGCGGCGAGATCGCCTTCGTCGCGACGCGCGACATCGCGCGCGGCGAGGCGATCACGCTCGACTACTGCCCCTTCTCGGCGACGACGGCGCACCGGGACGCCGTCCTGCGGCCCTTTCTGCTGGAGCACCTGGCGCGCGTGCCCGTCGTCGAGGACGCGCCCGTCGCCTACCCGGACGAGGTCGCGCCCCTCCGGCGCCGCGAGCCCGACTTCGCGCCGCACCCCTAAGAACTACGTGAGGAGCGGCAGTCGCCGATTGGGCGGTCGGTCCCGCTCGCGCCGCGCGTCCGTCGGGACGCACTTGTTGCCGCGCCACTCGACCGCGCGCGCGGCGGCGCACGCGCGTTTGTGGAAGAGCTCCGTGACGCCGCCGGCGACGACGTCGCGCCGCCGCGCGGGCGAGTCCGCGGCGCCGGCGAGGAGGTCCGCGAGCTGGGCCGCGAAGCGCACCGCGCGCGCCTCGCCCGGCGGGTTCGGCCCGTGGGGCTGGAGCGCGAGGCCTAGAACATTGGCGATTTCGAGGTCCCAGAGCATGTCTTCCTCGCTCGCGCCGTCGAGCCCCGCGGCGGCCGCGTAGGCGCCGACGACGGCCGACCGCCGGGGCAGCTCCGACGGCGGGCCGAGCGACGCGCGGCGGTGCCGCCGGAACGGGTGCGCGAGGTCGAGGGCCGGCGCGCCGGCGCAGGCCGACTCGAAGTCGATGGCGACGATTTCGCCGCCCCGGCGCATCACGTTGCGGTCGTGGAGGTCGAAGTGGAGGGTTGTGTTAATGGACGTCAGCGCCGTGCGCCCGAGCGCCGCGAGCCGGCCGACGACGTTTCGCAGGGGCGCCGCCTCGCCGGTCTTGTTCCGCGCCGCCAGGGACCGCAGGGCGACGTCGACGCAGCCGTCGACGGCGACGCGCTCCGCCGCTCCGTGGACGCACGCGACCAATCGCCCGAACGACTCGGGGCCCGGCCGCTCCTCGGGGACGTCGACGGCCTCGGAGAGGCGCGCGGACGCGTCGGAGAAGTAGACCGCGGGCGCGCAGCCCGCGGCCGCCGCCGCCCGCTCGACGGCGTCGCACGCGCGCCAGTCGCCGCAGCGCGACGTCGTCGAATTTTCCCGCGAGAGCCGCGCGACGAGCCGGCTCCCGTTGGGCGCCGTGGCGACGAGCGCCTCGGCGTTCATGCCCTTGAGGGCCACGGGCTGCACGTCGATGGCGTCGTGCGAGACGCCGGGCCAGGCGTGGGCGACGCAGAGGGCCCGCACGGCGTTTTTCGTCGCGTTGGCCAGCGGCGGCGTCGCGCCGCAGGGCCGCGGGCCCCAGCACCGGCGGCCGCCCTTCTTCTTGGCCGACGCCGGGAGCAGCGCGGCGAGCAGCAAAGTGCGAAGCATGGGTTCTTGTGTCGCCGACGATGGCGACGCGTCATGGTGCCTGGGCTGCCCACACACGTGCGGCGCCCATCATGCATCGATACATTGGAGTTCAACTTATCCATGTGTCGATCTCATCAATGGCCTCGTTGCCGCGATCCACTCGTCACGCGGGCGCTCGAGGGCTCGACCTGCTGCGCGTTCTGGCTTGCAATATGCGGGTCCTCCTGGTCGCGCTGGCGCTCGGCGCGTCGACGGCCTTCGTCGCCACGTCGCCCGCTCAGACGAAAACCACGGCGCTCGGCGCCTACGTGCCCAGCGGCATGACGGCGGAGCAGTACAAGAAGCTCAAGGACAAGGAGAATGCCGACAAGAAGAAGAAGAACTTCGGCCTCGGCGGCGCCCGCGGCTTCGAGTCGCGGTCCATGAACTCCTTCGTCAAGGATTTGGAGGCGGGCAAGGCGAAGCACCTCATGCCCGTGAACCCCAAGGACGTCGCGTCGGGCAAGATCGCGTTGAAGGACGTGCCCTACATGCAGCGCGGCGGCTCCTGGAAGAACACGGACCTCACCAAGGGCAAGAAGGGCTGGATGACGACGGGCTTCGGCATGACGGCCTTCAACGACGGCAAGGCCAAGGAGGTCAAGGCCAACAAGTACGACGCGCAGTACAACGGCAAGAAGCCGTCCGTCTCCATCTGGGGCGACGGCGGCTCGTTGGACTGGACGGGCAAGGGCGCGCGGGGCACGGGCGGCGACACCGTCGGCGCGCGCGCGACGCGCAACGGCATCTCGAACGACCAGCAGATGTGGCGCGACGCGGGAGCGCTCGGCAAGAAGGACATCGCGAAGATGGCCAAGCGGGGGAGCCAGGCCAACATCAACAAGCCCGAGAAGAAGTTCTTCGGCCTCTTCTAGCGGGGGGGGGCGACGCCGCGGTGCCGCCGCTCGAGACGCCGCGTCTCTGAGCGCGAGCCGCGCCCGCGGGCCGGTCGCGGGCCCCCGCGAGCGGGGTCCGCCGCACCGCCCGCGCTGTAGATAAACACACTGTGGTCGTCGCGTTGGCCGCAGCGGGGTCCGCCCGCGGTGTAGAGAAACACACTGCGGTTTTCGCGTGGGCAGCCGAGACACCCTCTTAAAGCGCGCGCGCGCGCTTTCGGCCCCCGCTCACCACGAGTCCGGGAGGGCCGGGACGCTGCCGTCGATGAAGGACGCGGAGACGAAGGACGCGACGCCGATCATGGCGAGGCGGCCGTTGTTGAGCTCGCGCTGGCGCTTCACGGCGATCGTCGCGGCGTCGTAGCCCGCGGTGAGGCCGAGCGGGTCCCAGAAGCGGAGCCCCAACGGCCCGTCGGTCTGGCCCGGCCTCCCGCCCTTCATGTAGTGGGGCTGCTTCGCCTCGGACGCGAGCTCGATGCAGCCCATGGCGAAGAGGATCTGCACCTTGCCGCTGCCGGGCACGTTCGCCCACGCGTCCCAGCCCTTGCCGAGCGACGCGAAGGACTTGCCCGTAGCGATGTCGCCGGGGAAGACGATGCCGGCCTCGTTGATGATCCAGCCCGTCGTCGCCGCCATGGCCACGCGGCTGTGCTTGAGCTCCGCGTGGCGGAACCACGCCAAGGTCTCGCGTTCGGTACCGATCGTCGCGAGGCCCAGCGGGTCCCAGAAGCCCAGGGGCCGCGACACGCCCTCGAGGAGCGCCACGTTCGCCTCCGCCTGCTTCGCCGCGGCGGCGGCTTCCGCGGCGGCCGCGGCCTCGCGCGCGGCGACGCCCTCGGGGTCCGCCTCGTCGAAGAGGTCGAACATGGCCTCGAGGCCCAGCTCCATGTCCTCGCCCTCGGCGCGCAGGACGCTCGGCGCCGCCGCGAGGGGGCGCCGCGGCGCGACCCAGGCCGACGCGCCGGCGAGGCAGAGCGCAAGTATGCGGACCATGTTGTTGAGCTTGTACAACCAGCCTTCGCTGAGATCGAGATGACGCGTTCGCCTTCTTCACCTTCAGCCGCCGACAGCCTCCGCGACGCGCGTCCCCAGCTCTGATCACGCGGCGACGACGACCGTCGGAAGTCCCCGGGGCGGAGATACCAGCCGTCCCTTCGAGAAGTAAAGGCGGCTGCGCAGCAAAGGAACCTGCGCCCTCACTTGGTGGGATTTCGGCGGGTGCGATGACCTCAGGGAGCTGGCCACGGTAGCACGCCGGCGTGCGGCAGCGACGAGGACAACGCCCACCAACCACGGTAGCAAAACGAGGCGCTCGAGAGGACAAGTTACGCGCGACTCCCCGCCAAAAAAACCTAGGACCCGCGGCGCCACCAGCGGGCGCGGCCGCCGCCGCCGCGGAGCTCGCGGAGCCGCGCGTCGATGGCCTCGACCTCGGCCTGGACGTCGTCGACCTGGCGCCGGCCCGACGCGAGCTCCGCGCCGATCTCGACCTTCTTCGCTTCGAGCTGGTCGACGAGCGCGCGGTTGCCCGCGTCGACGTCCGCGGCCGACGGCGCGGGCGCGATCTGCGACGCCCAGACGCTCGCGCCGCGGCGGGCGACGGCGCGCTCGAGGGCCAGCGGCGCCGCGGCGTCGTCCGCGGCCGCGGCGTCCACGGACGCGTCGTCCGCGGCCGCGTCGACGTCGTCGAAGTCGAGGTCGAGGTCGTCGCGGCCGCCGCCGAGGGCCGCCCGCGCCTCGGCGCCCGTGGCCGTCGGGTCGACGACGGCGTCGCGGCCGCCCGCGCGCGCGCGGCGCGGCGGCGCCGCGAGGTCCGCCGCGAGGCGCTTCACGTACGCGCGCCGTTCCGGGTCCTCGTCCTTGAAGGGGAACTGGCTCCGCACGACGTCGACGAGGGCCGGGGCGACGGCGTCGGCGCTCGCGCGGATGCCGCGCTCGTGCGTGAGCAGCAGCACGACCGTCGTCGTCGCCCCGCCGACGGCGGCGCCGGCGCCGAGCACCTTCAGGTACCAGGGCCAGGCGATGGGCGCCGCGTCGGCCTTGGGCGCGTCGGCCTTGGGCGCGTCGGCGAGCCCGCGCCGCGGCCGGTGCGCTCTGACCGCGCGCACGCCGCAAGCGAGGCGAGAGGAGCGGAGCATCGCGTCGCTTGCAGCAATGTCCACAGCATCACAGCACGTTGAGGCGCCGCAGCGCTGGGCAGCATGGAGGCCGCCTCCCCGCTAACGGACCATGCCGGGACCCCGGGGTCCCGCGCGGCGACGCCCGGGTCCCGCGCGGCGACGCCCGGCTCCGGCGGGCGCGTCGACTTCGCCGAGGGCTCCGGCGGGACGCTGGCGGACCAGTGGTCGACGCCCATGAAGGCCCGGGGCAGCTCGCCCTCCAAGGTGCCCCAGAGCGGCGGCATGGACTTCGAGCCGCCGACGTCCGACTTCTCCGGCCGCGGGACGTCGCGCGACGGGAGCTTGCGACGGCGGTCGGCCCAGCCGGAGAAGGACCCCGACGCCGTCTTCGGGAGCCAGCGGAGCCGCGCGGCCGGGCTCCGATCCGACGCGGAGGCCGGCGACGGCCGGTCCGCGGTGCTGCTGGGCTACCTCTACTTCGACATCGACGACCGCGACGGCGCCGAGGCCTGGTGGACGAAGGGCGCCGCGAAGCACGACGCCGAGGCCCATTTCGCGCTCGGCATGCTCTGCGAAACCTCCCCGGAGGCGTCGAGCCCCGAGGGCGCGGCGGCCGAGGCGGCGGCGGCCGCCGCCGCGCGCCACTTCTCGCGCGCGGCGAAGCAGGGCCACGTCGTCGCGGCCTACCACCTGGGGTCCGCGTACGCGGCCGGGCGCGGCGTCTCCAAGGACCTGAAGATCGCCGAGCGGTTCCTGCGGACCGCGGCGACCGCCGGCGAGGTCGGCGCGATGAACGCGCTGGGCGCCATCCTCGAGGCGACGGCCTGCGGCGGGTCCGCGAGCGACCGCGTCTCCGTGGACGTGCCCGAGGACGTCTTCGACGACGCCGACGACGACGGCGGCGGCGCCGGCTCGACGTACGGCGACCGGCCCAATGGCTTCGACGAGGCCGACGACGGCGGCAAGCGGCGGAAGCGCCTTGCCGACGCCGCGCTGTGGTACGGCAAGGCCGCCAAGGCCGGCGACCGCAGCGCCATGGCGAACCTCGGGCGGATGCACTACCTCGGCCGCGGCGTGCCCAAGGATCCGAACAAGGCGCTCGACGTCTGGCTCCTCGCCGCGGACCAGGGCTGCCGCGTGTCCTGCACGAACGCCGCGGCGCTCCTCGCGCGCAAGGCCGCCGACGACCCGGCGGAGGCCGTGCTCGCGCTCGACAGGGCAGCAAAAGAGAGCGAAATTCCCAACTTCAAAGGCTCCTTTCTCGGCCGTTTTCCACTCGTTTCGGCTGACTTTTGGACGAGCGATCATCTCTCGGAGCGGTCTCGACGCGTGGGCGCTTTTTCCGGAACGCGTGCGCGCGGAACACTCAAGTTTAAGCGACGTTGAATCACCCTTTTGCTGCCCAGGCGCTCGAGGCGGAGCGGCTCATGCTCCAGGCCGCGGAGCTCGACCACGCGACGGCGCGCTTCAACATCGCCGTGCTCCGCGCGACGGGCCTCGGCGACGTCGTGCGGAACGAGGCCGAGTCCGTGAAGCAGCTGCGGCTGGCCGCCGCCGGGGGCGAGCCCGCGGCCGCGCTCGCGCTCGGCGACGCGTACGCGGCCGGCGTCGGCGTCGCGCGCCAGTCGGACCGCGAGGCCTTCAAGATGTACAAGCAGGCCGCGGCGGCCAACGAGCCCGACGGCCAGTACCGGTTGGGCCTCTGCTACGAGCTCGGCCGGGGCGCGCAGCCGGACCTCGCCGCGGCGAACCGGTGCTACGCGGCGGCCGCGAAAGGCGGCAACATGGCCGCGGCGACCAAGGCCGGCAACCTCCAGTCGACCTTCGGCCGGTCCCAGTTCGCCTAATGTGTCGCACGACCAAACGAGGTCCTTTTAGACGACGCCGGCGCCCGCCGCGGCCTCGGGGGGCGCGGGCGCGCGCCGGCAGGGCCGGCAGCAGACGAGGCCGATGACGAAGTCCGCGACGTCCTCCTGCCACTGGTCGCCGCTGTAGACGGCCATGACCGGGTTCGAGAAGTGCGTGTCGCTCGCGTTGTTCAGCATGGCCATGGCCACGGCGGAGCTCCGCCGCTTCGTCGACCGCCGCTTGTAGACGTCGGCCTCGTCGAAGGACTGGCGCTTCGGCGCCGCGGCGGCCGCCGGCGCCGCGTCGCCGCCGCCGCCGCCGAGCCCGAAGGCCTTCTTCTTCTTTTTGCCCCGGCCCCGGTTCAGACCCATGTCGATCTTGCCCCGCTCCTTCTTCGCGCGCGCCTTGGGCGCGTCCTGGTCGCGGAGCTTGGCCTCCATGCCGAACGTCGGGTTCGCCTCCATCTCGACGACGCTCTCGCGGGGCCCCGCGGGCTCGGGCTCCGGCGGGCAGAACGCGTGCGTGCACAGGTTCTGGATCGGCTTCAGGAAGAGGTACGCCAGGAGGGGCGCGGCCAGGAGGAGGAACGTGAAGGAGACGCCGGAGCCCGTGCAGAACGTGTCCTGGAACTCCGTGGTCACGGAATCGACGCCGACGTCCGTCATCACGCCCGTCGCGACCTCCGCCGTCGTCACGGCGGACGTCGTCGCCGTCGTCACGGACACGACGGACGTCACGGTCTCCGTGGTCGTGACCTGGGCCGTCTGCGTCGCCGTTTCCGTGGAGGTTTCCGTCGACGTCTCCGTGGACGTCTCCGCGGTCGTGACGGGCGTCGTCGACGTGAACGAAACCAAAGTGGCGCCGATTGAGTCGACGATGGCCTCCGCGTCCGTGATGATGGCCTCGTAGGAGTCGACCTCCGTGACGAAGGGGCAGTCCGCGGGGCAGTCGAAGCCCGGCCAATTTATCTCGTCGTCGCAGATGGAGTCGTAGGTCGCGTCCTGGCCCCGCTTGTACCAGACGTAGGAGTGCTCCTCGATGTCGCCCGCCTGCACCGTGCCCTCGCCGATCCAGAAGTCGCCCGTCGCGTAGGTCGTGTCGCAGGACGACATCTGGTACATGATGCCCTTGTCGTAGTTGTCCGAAGGCATGACGACGATGATGTGCGTCTTGAAGCCCTGGGTCTCCATCCACGCCGACAGGCCCAGGAGCGTGCAGTCGGCGATGGAATGGTCGAAGCAGAAGTTCTTCACCATGTCCGGGTTCGCCGTGCTGGCCATGTCGCAGGGCGTGTCCGGTTCCCGCGTCGTCCACCAGCCGGGCCAGTCGTCCGTGGACCAGTCGAAGTCCTCGTCCGTCGGCGCGCCGTCCGTGATGAACTGGCACATCTTGTAGGGCTCCAGCCCGCCGTCGTCGTCGCGCGAAAAGGCCTCGTGCTGCAGGTAGCAGCGCACGAAGCCCCAGACGTTCAACGTCGCGAACTGGCGCCCGTGCTCCGCCGCGGCGAGCGCGTCGAGCGTGCCGTCGTCCCACGCCTCCATCGCCAGCACGTCCAGGCCCTCGCAGCCGAATTCGACGAGCCCGACGGACATGGACGTGTTGCCCAGGGAGCGCCGCGTCGTCGACGCCAAGGTCACCATGGCGTCGACCTGCTCGACCCACGACGACGTCGACACGGACAGCGAGCAGTCGAGGACGAACGTCGACTGGTAGGGCTGCACGACGGTCGCGTTCGTGACCGTCGTCGTGTTGATCGTGACGTTCCGCGTGACGTCCCGCGTGACGTTGTAGGACACGTTGTAGACGACGTCGAACGTGTGGTTGACCAGCGTCTCTACCGTCTCCTCGACCGTGATTTCCGTCGTCACGTTCGTGGTGACGTTCTGCGTGAAGTTGAAGGGGATGGAGACGTTGACCGTGACGTTCGCCGTCTCGTAGGTCGTCTCCGTCTCCTTCTCGCAGGGCTCGAAGAAGAGCAGCACGGAGAGGACGACGCCGGCGACGGCGAGGCCGATGAAGCCGAGCAGCACCCAGTTGCGCTTGAACCAGACGCCGCAGGACCCCTGGCGCCGGCCCCGGCCGCGGCGCCGCGCCATCGTGCGTGGGTGCGGCTTGCTGGCGGCGCGCGGCGCGGCGTCTGGTTGGGAGATCGGGCTGCCCGATGTTGGTTTTTTTTTCGTGGTGCATCATTGGTGCATCGTTCATGATAGTTGAGCCTCAACGTGAGGCTCGCTAAAGACAGCCTGCCGATAGCTGCGACATGGCGTCTTGTGGCAAGATGCGCCTTGCGCTCGCCGTGGTCACCTGCGCCTTCGCGCCGGCGCCGCGCCGCGTCGCCGTCCCGCGCCTGCGGTCGTCGCCGGAGCCGCTGTCGCTCGACGAGCTCGAGCGCATGGAGGCCGAGCTCCTCGGCGGCGGCCGCCCGGCGCCCCTGGGCCGCGAGTGCGAGCTCTACCGCTGGACGCAGGACGGCGCGGGCCTGCGCGTCGAGGTGCCCCTGCCCTTCGCGCCGCCGGCCGGCGACGTGTCGCTCGTCGTCGGCGGCGACGGCTTCGCCGTCGCGGTCGTGAATTCGGGCGTCGAGATCCGCGGCGAGCTCGGCGGCGCCGCGGACGCGCCGAACTGCGCCTGGGCCCTCGAAACCGACGCCGCCGGCGCGCCGGCGCTCGTCGTCGACGTGCGCAAGGCCGGCGGCGACGGCGCGGGCGCGCCGTTCTGGCGCGAGTTCCTCCGCGGCGAGGCCGCGGCGCCGACGGTCGCGTACCGCGGGACCTGCTTCACCGGCGCGGCCTTCGCGCAGACGCGCGACGCCGTCGACTTCTCCCTGCCGCTGCCGGCCGGGGTGGGGGCCGCGGACGTCGCCGTCGACGTGACGAGCGACGCGTGGCGCGTCGCGATGGGCGGCGCGGCCGTCGGCGGGCCGCTCTGGGGCCCCGTGCGCGCCGACGCGACGGCCTGGCTCCTCGACGACGGGCGGCTCCACGTCGCCCTCGAGAAGCGCGGCGGGGGCGGGTGGTGGCCGGGCCTCACGAAGCCGCCGCGATAACGTTACCGGATATTTAGCGGAGGGGCTTCGCCTCGAACGCGGTCGTGAGCGGGAGCGGGGACTTGCTCTTGGGCGACCGGGGCCCGGGCGATTCCCGCGGCGCCGTCGAGTAGGCGTAGGCCGCGGCGTTGATGAGCGCGCCGCCCGCGAGGAAGGACGGCGTCGGCCGGAAGCCGAAGAGGGCCATCTCCGCCACGCACGAGCCGAGCGTCGCGAAGCCCGCGGCGAAGCCCTTGAGGATGGACCCGGCGTACTTGAGGATGAAGGACACGTTGAGGCCGCCGACGGCCTGGAGGACGACGACGAACCAGACCAGGTTCGAGTAGCCGCCGAAGAACCCGCGCTCCGCGATGGGCGCCGAGTCCTTGAGCGTGGAGACAACCGCCACGACGACCGACGGGAGGCCCATCTGGATGTTGCGGCACCAGACGGACGTCTTCGTGCCCTGGAGGATCTTCTGCCTGTGTGGATGCCAACCACTGGTTCGGGGGGTCCCCGCCAAACTTCGGAACGCTCTAGCTCGGTCACATCGAAGTCGATTCGGCTGATTTTTGGACGAATCGATGGCTCTCGTCGAGTTCTCGACGCACGACGAAAAAGTTTGGTCCAAACTGCTCAATTATGCGCACATTGAAGTCGGGTTGAAGATTTGAGGTCCTCGCGGTCTTCCGCTGGTAGACGCCCGCGAAGCCGGACGTCGTCGCCGCGGCCGCGACGGCGAAGAAGCCCAGGGCCGCGTTGCCCGCCGGCGCGGTCTTCGACGCCTCGTGCTTGCCCGCCTGGACGACGACGACGCCGAGGAAGAGCGCGACGAGGCTCAGCCACCGCCGCCGGCCGATTTTTTCCTTCAAGAACGCCGCCGAGAAGAACGCCGCGGTGAGCAGCTTCAGGTTGTAGGTGACCTTGTAGGGCGTCGCGCGCAGGTTGCTGAGCGCCACATAGAGCAGGTTGTTCTGGACGACGTAGAGCACGGCCGGGAGCGAGAGCCGCGCCATCTCCCGCGGCCGGAAGACCTGCGTCCGCAGCGCCGCGAGGAACTCGCGGCCGTGCTCGACGTAGACGGCGGCGAAGCAGATGGCGAGCTTCAGCAGCTCCGCGCAGCAGACGGCCGTCGACGCGACGTACATGGGGCCGGGCCGCGACCGGCTCAGGCGCATGCAGAGCACGAGGGTCGTGTCCTGGACGACGAGGAAGGCGAGCGACGCGTAGCGGATCGACGCCGCCGACGTCTGCGACATCGTTGGTGGCGTGGCGCGTCGAATCGGGCGGCTCTCTCAGCGGCTTGCGGCTCAGTCGCGTCGAGCCGTGCGGTTCGAGCCGTCGCGCACGTCGGTTCAGCGAGCGTGAGCTCGAGCAAAATCTGTGGCAGAGCATGAGCATGAGCCTCTTGGAGAGCGCCATGCCGCAGCGTCGCAGCATGCTCTGGTGCCTCTTGGCAACAGCGTCCGCGCTGCAACCCCCACAGATCATCGCCGCGGCGTCGTCGCGCGAGATGCGGCGCATTGCCGCGCTCGTCGTAGAGGACGGCAGCCGAGTGTTGGAGTTGGGCTCGCAGCTCAGCTCGACCACGGCGGCGCTCAAGGCGGCCGCCGGCGCGGGCCGCGTCGTCGCCGTCGACGTCGCGCGCAAGACTCCAAAAACAAAAACTGAGCGGTCGGCGCAGTTCCGCGGCGGATCTGACGCCGTCGCCGTCGACGACTTTCGCGAAGTCGCGGCGGCGCGCGACATCCCTGCGGCGCTCGCGCCCGACGAGCGCTTCGACGTTGTCGTCGTCGATACGATGGCGCTCGCGGGCATGGACTTGGCGCTGGACACGCTCGCGCTCGTGCGTACGCTGCGATCGCGCCAGCGGCCGCCGCCGCTGTGCGTCGTCAAGAGCGCGGCGCTCGCGCGCCTCGGCGGACGGCTGTTCTCCGCATGCGACCTCTCGCGCGTCGACGACGTGCTCCGCGTCGCGGCGGCGCGACGGCGGCGCCTCGACGCGGGCCGCGTCTACGAGGCGGAGCCCGTGGTCGTCGCGGCCGTCGGAGTCGACGAGTACCGGTCCGTCATCCCGACGGCGGTGCGCCCGGGCGACGCGACGCTGGAGCTCGGCTGCCACTTCGGCACGTCGACGGCCCTACTCGCGGCGGCGTCCGGCGGCGCTTGCCTCGGCGTCGACGTCGGCGCGTCCATCGTCGCGGCCGCGCGGGAGCAGCATCCGCACGTCGACTTCCGCGTCGGCGACGCGTGGGCGACGGCAGGCCTGGCGGCGCTCGCGCCGCCGGCGGGCTGGGACGCCGTCTTCGTCGACGTCGGCGGGCTCTCGAGCGTCGACGGCACGCTCGAGGCCCTCGGTCTCGTGCGCGCGCTCGGCGCCGCGCTCGACCCGCGGATCGTCGTCATCAAGAGCAAGTGCCTGCGGAACCTCGCCGAGACGCTCGTCCCGTCCTCCCGCGTGTCGGAGCCGCTAAGGGGCCTGGGGTGAAGACGGCACGTTGAAGGAAGCACTGGCCAGCAGCCAGCCTTCTCAGTCTGGGCTGCCCAATCATCGACATGGGCGTCTCCGTGCGCGCCGCGGCGCTCCTGGTCGCAGCGATGCCCACAACAACAGCGATCACGGCCGACGCGACGGTCTTCGGCAAATACTTCTCCCTCGACGCGAGCGGAGCGCCGTCGACCATCGACCAGAGCTACTACTTGTTCCTCCCGACGGTCCCGCCCGCCGACGGCGGCGCCGCCTACCCCGTCGTCCTCTCCTACCACCCCGGCGGCTTCACGGGCGGCGCGCCGTCGGGCGACTGCGACGCGGACGTCTGCGCGTCGCTCCTGGACCGCGGCATCGCGTTCGCGTCCATGGGGTACCGCCTGGACGGCGCGCGCTACTACTTCTGCCCCGACGGGTCGACGGCCTGCGCCGCGGCGGACCGGCGCGAGGCGGAGTTCATCCACGTGCACGAGGACGGCGGCTTCGCGCTCGACGCCGCGAGGACGCTCGCGAGCTACGAGGTCGCCATAGGCCGCCAGGAGTTCAACGGCCAGGCCGCGTACGACGCCGCGGCGGGCTTCGAGCACCTGCTGGCGAATAATCCGAACATTGACGCCCACAAGGTCGGCCTCACGGGCTCGTCCGCCGGCGGCGCGGCGCTCAACTACCTCGCGTGGGTCTGGCACGCCCTGCCCGGGAACGCGGCGCGCGCGACGCCGCGCGCTTTGGTCTACACCATGGCCCAGCTCAACTACCCCGTGGAGAACACGCTGGACGTGGAGTGGCGCGTCTGGGCCGACGACCTCGGCTACGACGCCAAGCTCGCGGACATCGTCGATTTAGACGACTGCTACGCGATCGTGGGAAACCCGTGCTGCGGCGGCGACATGATCTGCGAGGGCGCGGCCGTGAACCTCTGCAACATGACCTGGCACAACGCCACGGTGGCGCGCTACTGCACGGCGGACGCCTACGCGACGGCGACGGTCGGCGACCTCGTGGAGACGCAGGTCTGGCCGACGGAGACGGCGCAGCAAAGAGGCCTCGCGAAGCTCTGGTACGCGCAGCGCAACATGGCGGGCGCCGCGGCCCACTACAACCTGACGGCGACGCCCTTCTACGTCTACGTCGCGAACCAGCTCAACGGGACGGTCCACATGGAGGTCGTGCACCACGCGGTCGCCGCGCGGGCCTACGCGAAGGCGGCGGCCGCCGCGGGGCTCCGCTACGTCTCCTACTACACGGACTACGCCCACATGACGGCCGACGACGCCGGCGACGCCCGGTTCGCCGTGGGCTCCGACGTCTACAACTACAAGAGCAACTGGGACTTCGTCGCGAGGACGGGCGTCGCGCCGCTCGGCCGCGTCTCCGTCGCGGAGCAGATCGCGACGTTCTGCTTCGCCTTCGAGCAGACGTGCCACAACCGCACGGCCCTCTAAGCATCTTCTAAGCGACGCCGCGAGTGGGACAGCGTCCGCGGGGGACGGGCGCCGAAGCGAGCGGGGTCTCGGCATTCAACCCCGCGGCCGTCGCGCGAGGACGGGCGCCGCCCCGAAGGAGTCGCGCGTGTTCGTCCCGTCTTAGAAGGTGATCGCGCCCGTGGCGACGCCGAAGCCGAGGGGCAGGAGGTAGAGCGAAGCGACCAACGCTATTGGGAGCGCGTGTCCCACGGCCGTCTTGTCCGTCGCGTCGACCTCCCACGGGAACTTGAACGCGGCGCCGTACTCGCCGTCGGTGTAGATCTCCCAGTCCGTCATGCCCTTTCGCCGCTCCCGCCGCGCCTCGTCGCTCTCGGGCGCGGCGCGGCGGGCGGTGGGCCGAAGGCTCGCGGCTGGGCGCGTCGGCGCCAGCGCGCGCGCGCCGCCGGCCAGGGCGAGGAGCAGGACGACGCGCGAGGCGTGCATGCTTTGCAAGGTTCGAGTTCTGCGGCGCGCGCGACGCTGGCGGCGGTCGAATATCCTCCACAGGCCGCCCACCGCCTCTCGAGAGAGCTTCACCAACAGTGCAATGCTGATGAAGTTGCTGATGGTTGCACTTCTTCAGCACGGCTGCCACGGTTAATGGGCGCGAAGCGACGCTCCTACCAGGGCGGCGTGGGGGCCCGCTTGTCGATGAAGATGCGCAGGTTCTCGCCCTCGCGCTTCGCTTCGAGGTAGGCCTTGTTGCCCTGGAATTCGCGCGTCGCGCGGACGTAGGCGGCGGCGTTCGGCGGCAGGGGCACCATCTGGAGCGTGAAGGACCGCGAGCGGTCGTAGATCATGGCCATCGTGCCGACGCCGTCCATCGGCAGCTGGATCTTGACGACGAAGACCGCGTCGCCGTGGACGTTCCGCGGCGCGGAGTCCTTGATCTGATGACCGGCGGAGGCGTTGGCGCCCAGCTCGCCCGTGAACGAAAAGGGCGCCGCCGTCCAGAGGCCCTGGAGCTCGGGGGGCGCGATCGTGGAGACGACGACGGATTCTCGGTCGCTCGTCGCCGCGACGCCGCAGACCTTCTTGTGCGCGGACCAGTGGGCCTTCTGGCAGGCCTTGCTGCAGTAGGACGCCCCGCGGCACCGCGCGCACATCATGAACTTCGGCCGTCCCTCGTCTCGCGCGTCGCCGCACGCGGAGCAGATCTCGCGCTGCTTGGGCTGCATCGGCGTCGCGAGGTCGTTCGGCGGCGCGAGGACCGACGCGAAGGACGCCGACGACGCCCGCGCCGCCCCCGGAGCCCGCACGTCGATGCCCGCGACGCGCTCGCTCAGGGCCCGGAGCGCCATGCTGCCCGACGCGATCTGCGCGCGCGACTCGGCGTAGATGTAGTCCGGCGATAGCTCGGGCCGCGGCGTGCGATCGACCATCTTTCGCATCACGGCGTGGTGGCCTCCGAGCCAGACCCGGACGGCATACAGCGGCGCGCCCGCGTCGACGCCGGCGAAGCCCGCCGGAGCCGCGCGCGCGTCGCCGACGAGCTGGACGCCGACGACCTCCGTCGACGGGCCCGGGTCCTTCGTCGTGACGATGAACTCGCGATGCCCGTGCGTGATGAAATTCATGAAGAGGTGGGACACCGTGTAGCACCACTGGCTGGCCGCGGGCAGCGCCTCGACGCTCCGCCCGGGGACCCCGCACGCCACCTGCATCATCGCCATCTTCGAGGAGACGGGCATCGCGTCGATCCAGGCCTTCGTCAAGGGATGATCGTTCGTGTTTTGAAATGTGTTCACGCGCGCGGACGGCATCGCCCACGGCGACAGCGTCCGCGGGTCGATCTTGCCTTCGGCCGCGGCGGCGACGGGCGCGCCGTCGCCGTCGTTCAAGATGCTGCGCTCCACGACTTGCCCCGCGACGCGCAAGTTCTCCGGCTTCACGCTGATCTTCTTCGTCGTCGCGCCGCACTCGACCGTGTAGCGATTCTTCTCGCGATTGAACGCGATGATGGTCCCGCGACTTCCATTGAGCTCGGGCTGGCTCTGGAGGCCCTCGATGAAGACGGTCGCGCCGATGTCGTCGGGCGTCGGCGCGCGCGCCTTCTTCTTGCTGCTCTTCTTCTTGGCCATCACGAGATACGAGTTATGGCCATGGGCAGCCCATATGCTTTCTGTGAGATCCGTTTAATGATTCCGTTGTGAGCCCGGCGCGGCACGCGCCGGCGGGGCACTCCAGGCTCGGCCTCGTCGTCGTCGCGCATCGCCGTCTAATTGCACCTAGCTATACTCGGCGCCCGCGGGGAGGTAGTTGGCCTTCTCGCGGCGCATGGCGTCCGCGTGCGCCGCGCGGCCCGCGGCGAGGTCCGCGTCCGTCGGGTCCGCGGGCGTTCGCGGCTCGACGTCGAAGCCGCCGTGGGCCAGCTGCCCGAAGGCCGTGACGCTCTCCCGCGCGGGCTTCGTCTGGCGGCAGGCGGCGGCGATGAAGCGCATGGCGAGGCCCACGCGCGGCGCGTCGCCGACATTCGGCGCGGACCGGTGGACGGTGAGGAGCTGGTGGATCGACGCCTCGCCGCCGCGGAGCGCCGCGACGACTTCGGTCGACGCGTCCCAGGCCTCGACGCGCTGGCCCCGGCTCAGCAGGTTGGACGGCGACGGCGCCTCGACGTGCGGCAGCTGGCCGGCGACGTGCGAGCCGGGCGCGAAGCGCAGGCAGCCGTGCCGCGCGTCGACGGGGTCGCTCAAAGCGAGCCAGAGCGTGCAGCCCCGCGTCGCGGGCTCGAGGCCCGTGTAGGTCGCGTCCTGGTGCGGCGAGAAGAAGCCGCCGTCGCCGCGCTCCTTGATGTTGAGGTCCGAGCTCCAGAGCAGCACGTCCCGCGTCTTTAGGACCGCGCGGACCGCGCGGAGCACTGTCTCTTCGCGGACGAGCGCGCCGACGCGCGGCAGGAACAGGTGGGGCTTGAAGCGCAGGTCGCCGCGGATGCGCCCGTCGGGCTGGCTCCGCGCGAACGCGTTCACCTCCTCCAGCGCTTCAGCCGCCACGGCGGGCGCGACGATGCGCAGGGGAGACACGAAGCCCTGGGCGGCGTAGGCATCGGCGAGGTCGCCGTCCGCGTCGTTGACGCGCGCCGCCGCCGCCATCGACGCCATCGCGCGGTCGTAGAGGCCGCGCGGGGCGCAGCGCGGCAGGTCAACCATGCTACCGAAGGGGCTAACTGGCCTCACCATGCTCCATGCTCGGTCGGACAGCCTCCTCGCTGCTTGTTTCCCTCAAGTTGAGGTGCGAGAGCCTCGCACTTCGCCTTGCGAGCGTGTCATCGGCGAGAGCTCGGTCGACGATGACTCGTCGCGGGGAGTCGGGCATTATCGCGTCACATGCCCCCCGGCGGCTCGTAGTCGGGCGCGCCGCCGTGGAGCGGGGAGAAGTTGACGGAGCCCGCGCCGCCGGCCGGCGGGTCCCAGGCCATGTCGCGCCAGGGCAGCGGGACCTTGGCCCCGTGGTAGAGCGCGAGGCCGCCGTAGAAGGCCAGGGGCGCGCAGAGCACGAGGAGCGCGCCGAGGACGAGCCCGACCGTGAGCGCGGCGCCCGAGCCGCCGTCGTCGGCGTCGATGACGTCGGGCGCGGACCACGGCGCCGCGTCCGACTCGCAGCGGCAGAGGGCCGCGCTCTTGCCCGTCATGCCGCCGTTGGGCACGTCGAACCAGCAGGGCGCGTCCGTCCAGCCCGCGCCGTAGTAGCCCGCGACCTTCTCGTCCGTGTCGTGCGCGTTGTTGGGCTCGCCCGGGCACCAGTTCTCGTAGGCGAGGGGCGTCGTCGACGGCCCGCGGCCGCCGACGGCGTGCCACGTGCCGTCCTGGCCCCACTCGATGCCGCCCCGCTCGTTCGTGTAGGCCTCGGCGATTCCCACGCGGCAGAAGCCGTACTCAAAAGCCTGGCACTTCTTGACGGCCGCGCCGTCGTCGCGCGCCGACGTCGGCACGAAGAGGCCGCCGGCGAGGCCGCGCTGCGCGCAGCCGTCCGCGCAGGCCTCGTGGCCCTCGACGAAGGTCGGCGTCGGCACGAGGAAGAAGCACGTCCCCGCGGCGTCCGCGTCGAGCGCGGGGCACGTCGCCTCCAGGCCGCCGGCCGCGGGCGCGGGCGCGGGCGCGGGCGGCGTCGCGCCGCCGCCCCCGGCGCCCGACGCGTCGCAGCCGCAGATCGCGCCGCAGTCGGGCAAGGGCGTCACGTCGTGCCAGCAGCCCACCGTGTCCGCGCAGTAGCTCGACATGTCGAAGTCCTGCTCGTTGCCGCAGTAACCGGCGATCTTCTGATCCTGCCCCCCGTTGTTGGGCTCGCCGGGGCACCAGTTCTGGTAGTCGCCGTCCTCCAGCTTGACGAGGCGGTTGTACTCGATCTTGTGCCAGTCGCCGTCGTCGGCGAGCTTGTAGCCGCCGGACGCCGTGGGCTCGACCTCGGCGATGCCGATGTAGCAGAAGCGGTGGTGGCCCCGCACGCAGAGGTCGTGCGCGGCGTCGTCCTGCGCCTTCGACGACGGCGCGAGCATGGACCCGAGCATGCCGCGGGACACGCAGCTCGACGCGCACTCGGCGACGGCCGCCTTGGGGTCGATCTCGGCGACGGCGAAGATCTGCGGACGGCGCGCGTGGGGCGGGCGGAGCGCGCGCGCGGGGGGGCGGCGTCGGGCGCGGGCGGCGCACGCATTTGCCGTCGACGACCTTATCCTCCGGCGCGCATTGCGGCTTCGCGCGGGCCAGGGCGAGGACGCCGAGGAGCGGGAGCACGATGGGATTCCCCATTCTCACGCATCCACGCACGAACAAGCCGATGTGGTGCGGCGATGCCGGATGTAGGTTTCTCGAGAACCACGCATGCATGTTCCAAGAGGGGGCTGCCTTCGGAACCAGCATGGACATCCTCGCCAACATGGACACGTACGACCAGAATGTCTGGGGCTGCTACGTCGTCGCGAACGCCTGCTTCTGGTTCGCGTCGCTCTCCTGCCACGCCGTCGACACCTTCTGCCCGGGCCTCGAAAAAACACAAGGCCAAAAAAGCCACATGACGCAGCGGACCTTCGCCCACGCCGCGGCCGTCGCCTTCGCGAACATCGTGATCTGCGCCGCGGCCGTCGTGCCCGGCGGCGCGAACCTCTGGCGGGCGCTCCACGCGGCGCCGCTGGGCGTCGGCAACGCGTTCCATCCGCCGCGGGAGGCGCTCGTCCTCGCGGGATCGCTGCTCGTCATCGACTTCTGGTTCTACTGGACGCACCGCGCCATGCACCACAGCTCCATCTACCGCGCCATCCACAAGATGCACCACCGCTTCACGGCGCCGACGGCCGTCGCGGCCGTCTACGCGCACCCCGTCGAGTTTCTGGTCGGCAACGTCGGCGGCGTCGCGCTCGGGCCCATTTTGTGCAACGCGCACCCCTACACGGCCTGGGCCTGGTTCGCCGTCAGCCTCTTGAGCACCTGCGGGTCCCACAGCGGCTACGCGGCGCTCGGCGCGGACAAGCACGACGAGCACCACCGGCTCTTCGACTGCAACTTCGGCGTCGGGCCGTTCTGCGACTCCCTCTTCAAGACGCGGAAGGAGGACATCCCCAAGTTCGCGAACAAGCCCCACCCCATGGACCGATTTCGACCCGGCAAGGACGGCAAGCGCGCGTAGCGGGATCTCGGGTAAGGCTTGAGGGGGGTCAGTGGCGCCCTCGGCGCCCTCGGCGCCCTCGGGACGAGGGCGCCGTCCCTCGGCCGACGCCCTCGGACCCTCGGACGGCGGATCGGCGCCCTCGGACGCTCGGCTTGATCTGAGATCACCTCCCTCAGGCTTCGCTCGTTTTGTGAGATCGGGGCTAAAACGCGACTTTCGCTCCCCTCGGACGAGGGGAAAATCCCTCAGCCGAGGGCGTCGGA